GGAGTAAACGGTGAATACGACCTACTGGGAATTGAAGACCTGCTTTAGCTGAACGAGATGAGCTAGCTTTGGTGGGAGCAGAGGCTGCAGATTTTCCACCGGATTTTCCACCAGAAGACATGTTGTAATAGTATGTATATATTAAATGTTTAACGTTAGGTGTGATAAATAAGACTTGTTGAATAAAGGAAACAAGTAAAGTTTTTGACAACGATTCTTGAAAAAATTAAAATTAAATTAGGGAAATGGCAGTGATTTTATAGTAAATTTCTACGCCGCGCTTTAAGTCACAGATCATTAATAGGCTGATGATGTAAACAAACCAGATGATTTTAGGTAACGTGTCTTTAAAGGTCGAACAAAAACAATCCATCCAAACAATACACGAGCACGTTATTTAGACAAGCCACCACTTAAATTAATTATACGCGTCACGAGTTTTATAACGCGTGACTTTATTACAAATTTAGATTGATCTCCAAATAAACCAAATCAGGCAATAAATCCATATTTGGATTTTTGTACGAAATATGTAAAAATCAAAACGAATCAAAACACAAAGCGCGATTTTACGTGTCCTGATCTTGATTGTATTTTTTATATAAAAGGACCTCAAATTCGACTAACTTTTTACTATTTTACGTACATCAATTTTTAACAATTCAAAGACACTTTTTCTTGTAAAATAAATAAATTTTTTAATTATCCTATACTTTTAAAGAATCAAATCAACAATGGGTTTAAAAGCTGAAAAGAAGCCTGCTACCGCCGGTAAAGCTCCTGCAACCAAAGCTCCTTCTGAGAAGAAAGACACTAAAAAGTCTACCGCTCCTGGTGAAAAATCCAAGAAACGCAAAGTTAGAAAGGAAACTTATTCAAGCTACATCTACAAAGTCCTCAAGCAGGTACATCCCGATACCGGTATTTCCAACAAAGCTATGTCAATCCTCAACTCTTTTGTCAACGATATCTTCGAACGTATTTCCGGTGAAGCCTCTAAACTTGCGGCTTACAACAAAAGATCAACTATTTCTTCTCGAGAAATTCAGACCGCCGTTCGTTTGATTTTACCTGGTGAATTGGCAAAACATGCGGTATCCGAAGGAACCAAAGCCGTTACTAAGTACACTAGCTCTAA